ATTTTTTCTACACAACACCATCAAGTCAAAAGACCTTTACTAAATAAGTCCTCGTACTCTGTAGATCCTAACTTTAGACAAAAAACAATGACTTCTCATCCTCTTGTTTTTCTAAACTGAAGCCAAAATGTCTCAGTTAACGGGTGCTGCCATGTTGTATTTTGGGAGCCAAAGTCTGCACATAAGCTTCGCCGTGTTTTTTAGGGATCAAATATCTAATTACAGCTAAATGTACACACATTTTTCTCTTTGATTGGACATCATCAAGGTAAAAACTACATAAACCACCTACGTTTGCACCATTTGTTTGCATAAACAAAGTTATACTGCAGACAGCCTACAGGGGGCACTCATCCTGGTTTGGCTTCATCTTCCACATTAGTCTCTGTGTTTAGTAATCCATTTACAGTCTGTTAATGGATTACTGATGATGTCATCACTTGTCTGAGTAGTCATTTTATGAGCAGCAGGCTTTGTACTGAGACAAAACTGGTTGTTTTATTAAGCTCGGTCAACACTTCTACAGATATTTTCTTTCACGGATTTGTTTTTCTTCATTTATTAAAAGAGAAATACTGAAATACTCATGTTGCGTTACTTTAGGTGGAGAAAACGACCACGTTACCAACAAAACTAACAAGGAAATCTTTATAAATCATCTGCTGGTTGCCCTAATTTATAAAAGTCCCTGCAATCGACTGGTGAAAACCCCTAAGTGGTTCACCTTCCATTAAAAGCAGCACGATGGGAGCAAAAGGTTACAGCCAGCCCGCACGGCCCTCTTCTTTATAGAGTCGACTTGCATGCAACACATGCAAACACTCTTCTGCCGCGGCTCCTTCAACGAGCCACACATTTAGTGGTCTGTGTGAGTAAATCTCTCATTAAGTAACACATGGTAGAGCCATATGCTTTGGTTGGTGGGTCTGCTGCGGCTCTGCTTTTTCACACGCTTCAAATATACATATTTACCACTGCTCCAGAGCGGCCAGCTCTGTAACGACTCCACCACCCGCCTGGTGCTGTTGCAGTGTCACGTCAGAGCTCAGGCTTCCCATTACGACTCGATCAGAGCAGTTTTGGTTATTTATTCTTTGACGTTATTTTACATGCATAACAGGTTATTTAAGGATGAGCACATGTGCACGAACTGCACACACACAGTGTTACCAGTGCTGGCACCACACCTGTGTGTAGAAGGAGCTTGGGATAACAGCAGAAAGTGGAGATAAGCAAAAGTGCGGTTGGCTTTGTTTGGCGGAGCAGATGCCAGCTCCGGCACCCCGTTGTTTACAGAAAGTGCACGTGCACGACTTTGTTTAAAGTGGTGGTGCTCAACTCGGGGGAAATTCCCTCTGAAGTTCTTGTAAAGTCGTTTCCCTAAATAGTTTAAACGTTTGTAATCTTTTGTTTAACTGGAAGAAAGTAAATGCAAGTCAGACTTTTTTTTTTTTTTACGAGTACAGTTTTGACTTTTGAGTCTGACATGAACTTGGAGGGTTGTATAATTTGAGACAAATAAACAGGAACAAAAAAAAAAAAGAATAACAGCATAAGACTTGCATATGTTCAGAATCCATGACAAGAAGGTCCAGCCTCAGCAGTAAACAGAAACACACTTGTTTGTTGAAGTTGTCATAAATCTCACATCAGGGCATTCACAACTAATAGTAACCGGCACTGCCGTCAGAAGCATTGTAATGTAGGGGGGACACACTGGTGGGGGTCCTCCCCCATAAAGTTTTGAATAAAGATGTTATTTCCTGAATTCTGATGTATTTTAATGGGTTGTTAAACGTCTATGTTTACCTCCATTAGCAAACACTTGATTCAGTAACTGTTTTAGAGAGCAACAAGAAGTAACCTGACCAACAGCTCTCCTTGTGTCAGTCTGCTCCGCTCACACATCCCACCCCCCCCCCCCCCCCCCTGGTCGACAACTGCCGGCACTAACACTAACATAGCGCTAAGCTAGCTGTGTGCAAATACAATAAACTACAGACATGCTAGCTAAGATGTTACAGATTTAGCACTCTGCTTCTCTCACACATCCGAACCCCCACAACCCCGGTCAACAATTGCCTGTACTAACGTAATGCTAAGCTAGCTGTGCGCAAATACAACAGACTACAGATGGGCTAGCTAAGATGTTACAAACATAGTGCTCCGCTTCTCTCACACATCCTAACACCCCCACAACCCCGGTCAACAACTGCAGGTACTAACGTAATGCTAAGCTAGTGCACAAAACAGAGGTGTCTCCTCCCCCTGCCCTGTTGCGTGACCTCACGAAAACACGGTGCGGTGAGTTGTTGTAGGTAACCAGGAAAACCTGGAGTGGACTTTTAATGGTTTGAGTATTCTCCTAGTAATAAAGTGGAATGGATTCATTCACAAAGAAACATAAACAGTGCTGGTTGAACTCATATTTTATGGTAAATGTGTGTGTGTGGGGTGGGGTGGGTGTGTGGGGGGGTCAAATTAATATTTTTCAAACGTGAGGGGGACACATCCCTTCACATATAATTAATGTGACGCCTATGTAACCAGCAACAACTTGCATCATTGTGACGTTACCATCTAAACCCATTCATGTGGTTTCTTTTTTTGCAGTTCTTTTCAGATGACAGCAGAGAGTAAGGAAGCTGCAAGTCAAAGGTAAAGTACAAAAGTGAAAGAACTGGAAACTGTGTTTAGGACGAGTCGTGAAGTAGAAACCTTTATGCTCTTTAGGCACAGATCTGTATATCTGTTCACAAACAGATAGGATCATATAGTCACTGTGCAATGATAACATTGTTGAAATAAGATATTGTTTGGCACGTCAGTGTTGCATGTAAACACTACTGTATGTAAAAGCTGCTGTATTTAAACTCTACTGTATGTAAACTCTACTGTATGTAAACAGTACTGTATGTAAACTCTACTGTATGTAAACTCTACTGTATGTAAACTCTACTGTATGTAAACAGTACTGTATGTAAACTCTACTGTATGTAAACAGTACTGTATGTAAACAGTACTGTATGTAAAAGCTGTTGTATGAAAACTCTACTGCATGTAAACACAACTGTATGTAAACTCTACTGTATGTAAACACTACTGTATGTAAACTCTACTGTATGTAAACTCTACTGTATGTAAAAACTACTGTATGTAAACTCTACTGTATGTAAACTCTACTGTATGTAAACACAACTGTATGTAAAAGCTGCTGTATGTAAACTCTACTGTATGTAAACACAACTGTATGTAAACTCTACTGTATGTAAACAGTACTGTATGTAAACACTACTGTATGTAAACTCTACAGTATGTAAACA